CCTCCTCCTCCTTCCTTCCTCTCTCTCTTTCTCCCTTTCTTTCTCTCTTTCTTTCTTCCTTCCTTCCTTCCTTCCTTCCTTCCTTCCTTCCTTATTTTCTTTCTTTTGTTTGTTTTGAGACAGGGTCTCACTATGTGTAGCCCTGGTTGGGCTGGAACTCCCTATGTATGCCAGGATGGCCTTGAACTCACAGACTCTGGTTCCCAAATACTGTACTCTTTATCTTGATTTTTTCTTAATATGTATGTAAGAAATCATGATAACGTAAAATGTTAAGTTCTACTTTATTAAATTTGTGGGAGAAAGTTAATGTTACAGCTGCTGTTTCTTGTTTCTCCTCCTTCTCACTCCCCCTTCTCATCCACCTTTCTTCTCTCCCCCTCCCCTTCTCTCTCTCTCCTCCAAGGTCTCATTATGCAGCTCAGGCTGACTTCAAATTCAAGACCCTCCTGCTTCTACCTCAAATGCCTGGCTTCCACTTCTTGAGATTGCCTTTTTCAGGGCTAAAAATCAAACCCAGGAGCCTTGTACATCTAGGCAAGTTTTCCCCACTAAGCTATATCTCAAGCTCTTTACATCAGACCTGAAAAACCTTTGCTCATACTCAGAATAACTTCAAGGTGTGGTCACATGATGAGTTTTTCATAAACTTTAGAAGTTAATGGCAGGAACTATTTGCATAATCTTAAATTTTATGTACAATTCCTGCTTGAGTGAGCTGCATTATTTATAGGCCCATTTATTCTGATAGAACATATAATGGCTAATCTTTCTTATCAGTCACTTTCTCTACCTTTTTGTAAAAAAAATAAATGGTTTCTAAATTTCATTACTCACTGGGATCAGAGTGAGGAGCTTTACAAAGAAAACATTTGTGTCCAAAGATTAAATTCTATGTCTATTGGTGGTAGTAGCCCAGATTGGCTTGGAACTCACTCTGTTTCCCAGGCTAACCTTGAACTTGGGGCACTCTTCCTGCCTACACTGGGATTACAGGTGTAAGCACTAGAATGATTGAAGACTTCCAAGAGATTCTAGTGAATAGCAAAGTTTAAGCACAGTGATTTAACACTTAAACAATTATTGAAGTTCACACCTATAAGTTGGGAAGTTCTCAGTTCCCCTGGGGTCAATAAAAATGGTTCTAGGATGGGAAGGGCATTGATCAATGGAATAGAATTGAACACGCACATGCAAACCCAGCCCCTACAGACACCTTTTTTGATAAAGAGGCCCACAATTCACATTTGAGAAAAGATGCTTTCTTTAACAAATGATGTTAGTCAAACTGGGTAGCTACATGTAGAGGAATGAAATTGGATCCTTACCTCTCACCAGTCAAGAATCTCAACATAAGACCTGATACCTCCAATCTCATAGAGGTCATTGATACAGGAAAGAACTTTCTAAATAGGGTCCCAGAAGCTAAGTCATTGCAATCAAATTGATAAGTAGGATCCCATGAAACTAAAAGGCCATGGCAAAGACCATGATTATTTGAATGAAGAGGCAATCTACAAAATAGGGAAAAATCTTTACCAGCTACACATTGGACAGAGAATTAGTATCTAGAGTGTACAAAGAACTCAAAAGATGAAACATTGAGAAAACAAACAACCCAAATAATAATGGAACATGGAACTAAACAGAGTACTCAAAAGGTGAAATATACGTTTAGACGAGAAACATTTTTTAAGTGTTCAACATGCTTAGCCATTGGGGACATACAAATTAAAACTGTTTTGAGGTTTCATCTTTTCCAGTCAGAATGGCCAAGTTAAAGAGGAAAAAGAAAACGAGTGACAATGTATGTTGGCACGAATGTTGAAAAGAGGAACACTTATTCACTGCTGCTGGGAGTATAACTGGAGCAGCCACTGTGGAAACCCGAGAGGAGGTTCCTCAAAGAGCTAGCAATAGATCTACCATAAGACCCAGCTGTATCACTCTGGAGCAGGTACCCAAAAGACTCTTCTGATGTTAAGACAGGAGTTCGCCATGCTCATTGCAGCCCAGATGTCCACCAGTCGATGAATGGTTAATGCAAATGTGGTACATTTGCATAGCGGAATTATTCAGCTATTGAAAAATTGAATGAGAAAATTTGCAAGCAAATGGATGGAGTGGGAAACAAGTATTCTGTGTGAGATAACCTAGACCCCCAAAAGATAAACATCTCATGCTTTCCCTCATCTGTGTATGTTTTTAATATCTTCAGAAACACATATATATGTATATATATGTATATATATATATATATGCACATATATGTTAAAAAATAGTAAAGGGCCACTGGTAGTGGAGCTCTGGAGGGTGGGAAAATACCGTACAATGGAACAAAGGACTACAGGGGAATAATGGAAGAGGAAAGACTCTAAGAGACAGGGTTAGTTGATGACTACATTGAAATGGTATTTTTTGGACATGAGCATTCACACAGGCATGAATTCATAGAGCCTATGATTGTGTGCACAAACCCTGCGCAAGATGAGTTCAGACCAAGTCCAAGCATGGATGGGAGAGGGAGTCACAAAGTCCCACACCCTTGCACATAGAGGCAGAAGGTTTAGAAAAAGTTAGCTGGGTAGCTATTGGCAATTGGTGGCTGATGGGGGAGAGTTAGCTTCCTTCAGACATGGCCCCTGAGAGGCTTCCCCCCGCTCAAGTAGGTGGTCCCACACCCTTGCACATAGAGGCAGAAGGTTTAGGAAAAATTAGTGGATTTTAAAAAATAGAGAGCATGTAAAGGTGGGAGAGAATAGTGGTTGGGGGATAGGGAAGGAATTGGAGAGGAGAGTACAGTGAATGGTAAAAATAGACTTGATAAAACTGCTTTTTTAAAAATGTAAACATTAGGGGTCTGGAGAAATGGCTCAGCAGCTAGGAGCACTAGCTGCTCTTCCAGAGGACCCAAGTTCAATTCCCAGCACCCACATGACAGTTCACTCCAGTTAACTCCAGTTCTAGAAGATCTGACACCCTCACACAGCCATACAGGCAGGCAAAACACCAATGCACATAAAAAAGCAAAATTTTTTAAAAATGTAAACATTAAATAAAAATTAAAATCAAGTAAATAAAAAGTGCTTTGGAATATATATTTGTATATAACATATAATTTGATATGCATATATAACTATTATTATATATTACATAACATATAAATATTGCCTAGGGGACCAGCAAGATATCTCAATGATAAAAAAAAAAAAAACACATGCCAAGAAACTAGAAGACAGGCATTACACCCTCAGACCTACATGATGAGAGAAGGAAAACCCAAAAAACATCTTAAAGCCTTCACTTCTGGGATCCTCTGACTTACATACATGCAGGCATGCACATATCTACACACACACACACACACACACACACACACACACACA